AAAAAAAAAAAAAAATATATTACATTTAGCATGTACTTACGTACATATAATTATTATATTGAACGCTCGTGTGCATATTGTACTCATAACAATATGATTATAAAAAAAATTCATTTTACAAACATGCACAACAGGAAAGAAAAAAAAAAAAATATATATATATATATGTATATATTTAAAACACGGAACTGTGAAGTTTTGACAAAGTTTTGACGATATTGAGTACTTTTCATTTTTCCCGTTTTTTTCAATTTTCTTTTTGTGTTGTTCTCTCGAGTAAATGGGTGGATGATTTTTTTTTTTTTTTTTTTTCACCCCTTTTCTTTGCAACGATTAACTTAATGTGCATACGTTTTCGCGTGCTCACTCGCGTAAGTAATGTGCCATTCTCCCATTAGTTGCCTGGAGGCCGCTGGAACATGTAGAAGGAGCAGCTGCTAGCAAGAGGGAGAAAGAGACCAACAGGCCAAAACGGCGGACCAAACGGCGGAGCAACTGACAGACCAACCGACTGACCAACCAGCAGACCAACTCGCAGCTGGACCCATAGAAATTCGCCTCAAAGAGCACAAACCATTACTCCCCCATACGAAGCAGAATGATATGTTACAAAGTACAGATTTTATTTTGATACATCAGTCAGCAAGCCTGTACAAATATAACTCTGCCCCCCCTTCCAACTGAAAACCTAGTACTTTCAGTTCCCCCTTAAAACGTAAACAAAGAAGAGAAGAACATGTCTCCATTTAAAAAGGCCATCACGTACTACTTCGCCATAGTATCGCTCTTCTCTGCAGTTTTTTTGGCACTCATTGGTCTTCTGCTATTGTATGACTCCGACTCGTTGGAGTTGCATGGGAATAAGGCTGAGAAGGTGAAGCCGTCGTTCATTTGCGCAGGGGTAAGCCGCGTTGCAGAGTTGCAGCGTTGTAGCAGTGTAGCTGTGTAGCTGTGCAGCGGTGGACCGTCCTTGAGTTACTCCCGAAGGGGGTAGTAGACCGAACTGCACAGTTTCATCTCGAACGGGCGATCATTGACAGCTGCACTAACTGGCGAGTCACACATTTAGCACACCACCATTATTCCTGCCCCTTCTCCCCCACACCCTCTCACAGATCTATTTTGGCATACTAATCGTGAGTAGCATTGCATTATTTAGAGGCAGTAGAAAATCGAAGAAGTATCAAAATACCAGCTCATAACGCGCAGGAAGAGAGAAGAGAGTCAGCACCCGTTCCTCCCGCCTCCGTTTAGTCAACAGGGCCCATAACATAACTGTTGTACGTAACATAACCGTTGTACAAAACATAACTGTTGTATGTTCTGTTCCCTCCCAAGCAACCAAGCAAACCACACACACGGAGAGACCTCCTGGAAGCATTTTCAACGTATCGATTCATATACAACCCCCGTGTTAACCTTTCTTTGTTTAACCCGTTTTGATCCATCCAACCCCCCCTGGACAGTTGCTTCGTACCCTATTCGTTCAATCCATCCTCGTTCTTCTGTTCTGTTCGCTCCGTGTTTGTGCAAGCACGCTTCTGGAGTGAAGTGAAAAGAGCTATTTTCCACTCCGAAAAAAAAAAAAAAATGGGCCCTTCACTTCAGTATGAATCCCCATTCACCTTTGTTTTTGTCCGAATCGTTTGATTGAGCAAGAGGAAAAGGAAAAAATAGAAAAAAAAAAAAAATAAGAGAAAGAAACAAAAGAGAAAAAAAAAAGGAAATAACAACATTTATACACATATGTGTTTACCCATTTAATTTTTTTTACTCTTTAATTTTTTTTTTTTTTTGCAAAAAGGATAAGATTTCATTTCCCCTCGTACGAGATGAAACTTATACACATGTAATACATACAAAAAATACATGCTTCTTTTTTTTTTTTTTTTTTTTTTTTCTACACGTGCCTATTTTGGAGGGCTTTAAAAAAATGTTTCATTTGCTAAGGTTAATTTTGATCCTTCAAGTTACTTTGTTTTTTTAACCCGCTTACTTTATGTATGTTTAAGTGACATAAGCAATTTTTTTTTTTTTTTTCTCCTTTTTTTCCATTTGTTTCTTTTTTTTTTTTTTTCTCTTTCGCGTCGCCCTTTTGTTACGGTTATCGCTACGTTGTTGCTTCGCTGCATCTTTCTCCCTTTTTTTTTTTTTTTTTTTTTTGTAAACCTTTTGAATTATACGTTGATTTATTTCTAATGTGCAACTTTCCTAATTAAGTTATTTCTTTCTCTCTCTCTCTTTCGCTTTCGCCCCCTTTTTTTCTCCTTTTCAGTGTGTACCTTAGCCTAGGGCAAGGATAACACCTGCACACGTAGTTGCGAATGCACACGCACGCCCTCCGAAAAAGAATAAGAAGGAAGAAGCATGTTCCAGTGGAACCATTTAACGCACTGTAGATGTAGACTGACCTATGCGTGCATACGAACATCGACTGGCAGCGTGTCCACAAGATGGCTAGCGAATTTGACTGACCATAAGAACGAGAATCATACTTTTTCTAAAAAAAATTTCAACAATGTGTTCATGCAAAATATCAGGATTACACAAGATGGGCACATCAAGTGTGAGAGGTTCTTTTTTTCCAAGTACAGCCTGCCCTACGTTCTGAGTAAGGCTGAGTCGTGTTCATTTTCCCCTTCGCCATATTGCCTACGTGCTATGTCCCTTCGTCATGTTGCCTCCATGGTGGTGCCCCGTTTTTTATACATGCGACCCCCCCCCCCCTCTCCACCGCAGACATCCCTGTGAGTGACCTGCGCCTGATCGACTCGAGCAACAACCACAACCCTACCCTGCTGGTGAGGAAGAACATGATCCTGCTGCGCACGGGCTTCATCAGCTGCGTGATTCGGTTCAACGAGCTATGGATGTTCGAGCCGAATAACGCCCTAGTGGTGAAGGCCACCAACTTGGTTAAAAAAAATTTTAAAAGGAAAAGTGACTTGGATGGGGAAGAAGGGGGGAAGTCAAATGGGCAGGCGGAGGATGTAGCGAGTTGCTTTGAAGGGAAGGACGCCTGTCCGGGGGTAGCCTCTCAAGCGTGCCGCAGTACCTCCGAGGAGTGCCGAAGAAGTACCTCGGAGGGGTGCCCCTTAGATGGCCCACAGGAATGCCCCCTAGACGGCGCGCAAGAGTGCCCCCCTCCGGATGAGCTGAACCACGTGAATGTTAAAAACCATTTTTACAAACACAAAACGAACATCTACTTTGAGTTCCTGTGTTTGGACATCTGCATGCAGCTTTCTATAAAGGAGTACGAGGAAGACCTGTACCGACTGAATGAAAAAATAAAGGGAATCATTTTGCAACAACGAAAGGAAGAAAACAGTGAAATCAATATCCTAACAAATAACCTCCTAAGAGATATGATGAAAATAAAAAATAGCTTACAGAAATTTTCAAATCTGTTAAACGCTCTTCGTAACAGCATCGAACGAATTCTGAATAATCACACAGACATGGAGAACATGTATTTAACTTTTATGAAGACGAATGTAATGAAGGAAGGAATTGTTTCTGCTAATTGTAGTAGTAAGTCATCTAGCCCTTTAAAGGATTGCACCGACTTGGAAATTGTTTTAGAGACCCATTTGCAGCTTACGGATGAGCTGTACAGAGAATTAGAAAATGTGGAGGAAAAAATTACTCACTATGAAGAATTGATGCGACTGAATTTGGACTATAATCGGAACAAATTCATTTTGTTAAATGTTAAAATATCTTTTGCCACTTTATTTTTTTCCGTTTCTTCTGTTATTACAAGTTTGTTTGGAATGAATTTAAAAAATTTTTGTGAAGACAACGACTATGTGTTTTTCTTGGTGTCTCTTTCCGTGTGTGTGTCGTCTTGCCTGGGGATGCACCTCACGAGGAACATCAACACGATTCTCCGCTTCTTCGACCGCTACCGTGTGAAGTAGCGCCGAGGCGTTGCATTAAAAAAATATGCCGTGTGCACTTTATTAAGTATATACATATGTGTATATGTATATGTATACATATGTTGTTGCCAGACAAGACCTGCTTATGGAAAAAGGGGGGGTCCCTACTTTGCTTGGCGACCTTTCTCTTTCGCTACCCATTTCCCCCCCCCCCCCTTTGATCCGTTTGACGCTTAAAAAGAAAAACAGCTGCTGATGCAGAAGCTAACATTGAGACCAAGTTGCACGTTCAGAGGTTAGGGAAAAATGGTCACGCCCCCCGAATGTGTAGGGAGCTCCGGAAAAAAATATATTAAAAATATATTAAAAATATATTAAAAATATATTAAAAA